GACAAAAAACACATGTTAATTTCAATAGTCACAGAAAAAGCATTTGACAAAATCTAACATCCTTTCATGATAAAAATACTCAACAAAGATGGAAGAGAAGGGGACTTCCATAGCCTGATAACGAACATCTACCAAAAACCCACATCACACATAGTGGTAAAAGAGTGAAAATTTTCCTTCTAAGATAAGGAGTAAAGGAAGGATGTCTGTTCTCACCACTTCTATTTTTGTTATTGTTGTTTAATCCTCACCAGAGGATATTTTCCATTGATTTTTAGAGAGAGTGGGAGGGAGCGAGTGAGGTTTCAGGGATCCTGCAACCTAGGTACGTGCCCTTGACTGGGAATCATTGAACCCTAGGTCCTTTGGTGCAAGGACCAATGCTCTAACCACTGACCCACATTGATCAGGGCTAAATATATATATTTTTGACGCTATTATAAAGAAGTCAGTACCCCTGACTAAATAGTCAAGTATTACATGTTTTAAAAATTCTTGCCCTGGCTGGTTTGGCTCAGCGGTTAGAGCATAGAGTTGCGGGTTTGATTCTGGTCAAGGGCATCTCCGTTGCGGTTTGATCCTCGGCCCTGGTCGGGGTCATGCAGGAGGCAATCAGTTGATATGTCTCTCTCACATCAATGTTTCTCTCTCTCCCCCTCCCTCTCTTCCACTCTCTCTAAAAGTCAATGGAAAAATATCCTTGGGTGAGAATAAACTATTTAGTCAGGGGTACTGACCTCTTTTCCCTTAGATTGTCAAATTAAAAAGTGACAATAGCTGTCCGGTGTGAATAAATCAAAATTATACCTTTTTTTTTTTTTTTGTCTGATCAGCAAAAGATATAATTTGGCCAAAAAGTGGAAACATTCAAACGCTCATCAACAAATGAATGAGTAAACAAAATTTCAGTCATAAAAAGGAATGAAGTGCAGTCATGCGTTGCTTAATGACGGGGTACATTCTGAGAAATGCATGGTTAAGCGATTTTATCCTTGTGTGAACATCACAGAGTACACTTATACAAATCTAGATAATATAGCTCAGTACACACCTAGGCTATATGGAACAGTCTATTGCTCCTAGGTTACAAACCTATACTGTGTATGTTACTGTGCTGAATACTGTAGGCAACTGTAACACAATGAAAAATAATTGTATATCTAAACATAGAAAAGGTTCAGTAAAAGTAAGGTATAAAAGATAAAAAGTGGCACACCTGTACAGGGTACTTATTATAAACGGAGTTTGTAGAACTGGAAATTGCTCTGGGTGAGTCAGTGAGTGAGTGGTGAGTGAACATGAAGGCCCAGGACACTGCTGTGCACTACTGTAGACTTTATAAACACTGTCCCACAAGCCCTCCCCGTTCCTTCCACAGGGTCAGAAATAGAACATCAAAGCTGTCAATGCTGCTCCATGCATAGAGATGTAGACTAGATTGATTGGAAATACCGAGAAACTGACTGGGTAAGGCGTGGATCACTGTAATAGTGATCTGTAGGGAGGAAGTGAAAGTGATCCTTCCAGAGGAAGAGTAGGAATAAGAAATCAAGACAGAATAGAACCCTGGCTGCTTTGGCTCAGTGGTTACAGCATTGGCCTGAGGACCAGAATCACAGGTTCGATTCTGGTCAGGGGCATGTACCTTGGTTGTGGTTCGGTACTGGCCCTGGTTGGGGTTGTTTGGGAGGCAGCCAATCAATGTGTCTCTCTTGCATCAATGTTTCTCTCTGTCTCTCTCTTCCTCCCTCCTACTCTATCTGAAGATAAATGGAAAAATATCCTCGGGTGAGGATTAAAAAAAAAAGAAATCAAGATAGAGAGATAAAGGAATATAGAGGCTTGTTACCGCAATGTAGTTCTGGCTATTGCATGTTAGAGCAGCGGTCAGATTACGGAACTTGTATTCATTAAAATAGTGGGTTTAACATGGAGAGGGTGTAGAAGTGAGAACTCAGTATTTTGATTTTGTAAACTTGTTTTTGGTTCCATTGATCCTATCTGGCACAAAGGACTCTGTCTGACATTGAATTGATGGAAGAAATAAAACATATCTATGCTTTACATCATTATAACCTGAAAATATTTCCAAAGGACAGGGACAGGCTGGCTCCACTCGAGCACAGAGAGCTTCTACCAAAGTGGCGGTGGCACTTCATACCTGTTAGGGTAGCTCCCGTGGACCTTGTACAGGATCTTAGGTCCTCAAACAAAGACTTCACAGTAAATTATTATTATTTTTAGAGATTTTATTTATTTTTAAAATTTTTATCTCTTTAGTTAATTAATTTTTTCATTGTGCACAGTATTAGAGATGTCCTGAATTTATAGTAAATTACTCTGAAGACTGTCAAGCTTGATCTGGGAGGGCTATAACACCCTTTGAATATGGAGGGCTGGGATGCAAGCTCCTGTGTGGTGAAGCAGGTCAGTAGCTGACTGACTGGAATGTAATCTGTGAACTCAAAATCGAGGTGCTGTGAGTGAGAGGGAATCTATTGCCAAGCCCCACAGATATTGCTCCTGCCAGAAGAAAATATAATTCCTTTTGAACTATATATCTTTCCATTTCTTACAGGAAACTCAGCTCCATTATAATCTTATGGGACCACTGTTGTTTCTGTGGTCCGACATTGTCTAAAATGTTATGTAGCACACGACTGTACTAACACACGATACAACACAAATGAACCTTGAGAACATTATGCTAAGTCAGAGATTTTCAACCTTTTTCATCTCACATTACACATAAACTAATTACTAAAATTTTGAGGCATACCAAGCCATATATCTTTTGCCTTTCTGACAAAAATTAGGTTAATTTTGATAAATAGTAATTACCTACCCTTTTTGCTCCAAAGTGACTTTAAAAAAAAATCAGGTGCTTATACTTGTATATAAGAATTTCTGGTACCAAGAATTAACCAATCAGATGCAACCATATTAGGTAACATGACCAATAAGATGCAATTCTATTATATGACCTATATATTTATGGTTCAAGACAAAACATTCACAATGGCTGGCTGTTGTGTTGGCTGCTGTCATTTTTTTTACTTGACAATCTAAGGGAAAAGAGGTCAGTGCCCCTGACTAAATAGTCAGGTATTGCATGTTTTAAAAATTCTTGTAGCATGCCGGCTGAATATCGCTGTGCTGAGTGAAAGAAGCCAGACACAAAGGCCACATATTATATAAGTCTATTTGTGTGAAATGTCCAAAATAGGAAAATCCATAGAGACAACAAATAGATTACTGGTTGCCAGGGACTAGAGAGAAGAGAGAATAGGAAGTGACTGCTAATTGGTAGGGAGTATGTTTCTGGGCATGATCAAAAAGTTTTGGAATTAATGATAATAATGGTTGCATAACCTTGTGAATATACTAAAAACCATGGAATTTGTACACATTAAAAGGGAGAATTTAATGGTATTTGAGTATACCATCTCAATAAAGAAATTTTTAAATGTAATTGAAAATATGAGGAATTCTAAAAAGAATGATGAAAAGTCATAAAATGACCTGGCTGGTTTGGCTCAGCGGTTAGAGCGTCAACCTGAGGTCTAGAGAGACCTGGGTTTGGTTCCCACTAAGGGCACGTACCTTGGTTGCAGTTTGTCCCTGGCCCTGGTTGGGTCATGCAGGAGGCAGCTACTTGATGTGTCCCTTTCACATTGATGTTTCTCTCTCTCTCTCTTCCTCTCTCTCCCTCCCACTCCATCTGAACAAAAAATGGAAAAATGTCCTTGGGTGAGGATAAAAAAAAAAGTCATAAAATAATAACATGTACTGACTCTATGAATCTACTTTTTCTAGTCAGTCTCCTTGAATAGTAATTATCACACTACTACTCATTATGGTTGAAAGAGCTGTAATTCTTAGCATCTACTATAAATAATTTAGAGCACATTACGTACCTTATTATAGTATCAAAGTATCAATGTTGGCTCATTAAAAAGTCTTGCAGGGCATGAACTAATTGTTTCAGTAATTTACTGAGAATTCCAAAAATGAAATATATTTTAAAATGTTGAATTTGAATGGGCCAGATACTGCAAAAAGTGAATATGTAAAATTTAAAGACTTCTTTGATTTTAAATGGGTAAACAATAATGATGACATAATTTCACTGACAGGGTACCAAGAAATCTGCATTTTGCCCTAATATTCAGATAAAGAAAGAGTTACCAAACTGGAAATGAATGAAAAAAATAAAAAAAAGAGCCCTGGCCAATTTGGCTCAACAGTTAGAATGTTGGTCCAAGGATCAGAGGGTCACGGTTTCGATTCCTGGTCAAGGGTATGTGCCTGAGTTTTGGGTTCGATCCTGGGCCCTGGTCAGGGTCACATGGGAGGTAACCAATCGATGTGTCCCTCTCACATCAATGTCTGTCTCTCTCTCTCTCTCTCTCTCTCTCTCTCTCTCTCTCTCCCCTTCCCTCCCTTCTACTCTATCTAAAAATCAATGGAAAAATATCCTTGGGTGAGGATTAACAAAAAAAAAAAGGAGAGAAAGGGCTAGAGTCCAAAGAAAACCGAACACATCTTGCTTGGCTCAACAGCTGTGTTAAAAAACAATTTCTTATCTTGCAATTAACCATTTTCTTCCTAAAGGATATAGAACATTGGGTTAATAGATTTCTTTATTAGTAAATCTGTTTTGGCTATTGAAACACTAAATGAACAGAACATCTGTTTTGCAAGTAAGACAGATTGTATGGAAGAATCAAATATCAAACCACCAATTAGACTAGCATTTAATTTGTTCTACTTACATTTTCAATAAAAGTAAATGAAATCACATTCTTGAAATTATAGGCCAGTTATAAATATTTAATACCAGAAACCCCTAACATTAAGATGCTTTAGAGTATAAAGGTAATTATTAGTATATTTTAATTAATTATTTTTCACTCTACTTGACATTCATATCAAAACCAGGTTACAAGGCACTACCCCACAAAAATCATTTTTAAAATACTATAAAAGGGAAAACTCACCATCCATGAATTCTGTACATATTGAAATCCTGTTTTCTACAAAAAATGCACCATAAAATCCTATGATATATGATGAATCACACTGTAATAAAAATAAGACAAAAGTAGTTAAAATCTGCAAATCAATACCACAGGCATGCTTTATAAGAAAAAAAAATGACCAAGAAAAAATTACCTTATAAAGGATTTCCAATTCAGACATAATTTGCTTCTGAAGTTCCAGTGTAATATCTAGTAGTATGACCTAAATATGGAAGGAATAGGTTGACACATTTATTCACCTTTAAATTAAATATAGCTACACTCACTATGAAATAAAAAAACTAAACTCTTTTCATTTCCCCTTTCTCCTCCCTACCATTACAACCCCCAGTAATACAAACTGTATCCACATCTGTCTAACCCTTTGTATTGGGGGAGGTGGTATAGAAGTGATTGATGGGACCAAGGAAAAAGCCAGGTCTCAAAGGTCAGTATTAATGGCTTTAAAAGTCAGTTAAGTTATAACACCCTTAATTTATATACCCTATTTTGGCCACATTGGTTATTTTCAGAAGAGAACGATAGGAGTGACCCTGAAATCATTAAAAAAAAATTGGCATATAATTCAGAAACTAGGTGATAAGCAGAAGAGGTTGATAAGTAAAAATGACATGTAAAGTAAGGTTTTTTAGTTATAAGAGAAATAAGGAGTTTTTAAAATATATCATCTTTTTTTATTCTTCCAGTTGCAGATTGTTTCTTTGCTAATAATGTTATAAAATGTTGGAGCTTGAAGGAAGCTCAGATATTATTTCATCTAATCCTCTTCTCTTAGAGGAGGAAACCAAGGTTCTGAGGAGCCACACGGCCTGGCAACGTCAAGGCGCCTTCCTGACCCTGAGGACTTTCTCCAGTATGTACTGATGCTTTATGGTTTTCCTCAAAATATCAATCACTGAGTCAGGTTCAAAACGCAGAAATGTAAAATACTTTATTTATAAACTTACCTATAATAAATTCTAGTTTATTTCAAACACTAATTTTTTTTTGTTAATCCTCACCCAAGGGTATTTTCCCATTGATTCTTTACAGACAGTGGAAGGGAGGGAGTGAGAAAGAGAGAAACATCAGTGTGAGAGAGACACATGGATTGGTTGCTTCCTGAATGACCCCGAGCAGGGCTGGGAATCGAACCTGAAACCCAGGTATGTGCCCTTGACTAGGAATTGAACTTGAGTCCCTTCAATCTGAGGACCAGCACTCTAACCGCTGAGCCAACCCGGCCAGGGCTCAAACACTAATTTTTAAACAAAGAAGCCATCAACTGTTCAAATTTTACTGAGCAGTTCAGTGAAGCCAACTCAAAAGAAATTTTTTTTTTTTTTTTTTTTGATACGTGCTCCAAGCGGGAACCAAACCCGGGACTCTCTGGTCCGCAGGCTGATTGATGCTCCAACCGCTTAGCCAAACTGGCCAGGGCTTGCTTTTTTTATTTTTTACTTAAAAAAGACTGTGATGAGAATAAAATAAATGGAGGACAATTTTAACATTTGTGGCAGAGTTTCTGACTGTAGACATTTCTAGATAAAAACTGAACATCCAGGATTACCATGACAGCGTAGTTATACACCATCCAACATTGAACTACGTTTTGTATTACAAATATATATATAATCATACTGGAGGAAAAAATCCATAAATTATGAATTGCAAACTGCTGACAGAGCGAGGAAAGAAAAGGATAATTCTAAAACACATTTTATAGTAATGACATCCATTGGGGGAGGGAAAAGGGAAAAAAAAGGCATAACCAGTTTCTATCAAGAGTTTGCTTTAGGGTTATTTATAAAAGCTCTCACTAAACTAGACTGTAAATGTAATACAAAACTGCAAGCAACACTTCTCCAGATCAATAGTCATTTTGCCAACAATATTCACTTACATTTTTGATTCTGTATAAAACTTAGCAAAAAATAAATAAATTTATCTAGTGTTGTTTCAAGTCTATGCCATAAACTATTAGAGCTATTCACAATGCCATGTCAAGTACAGGGAATCTTTCATCCTAAAAAAACTCTGCTAAACGGAATGAAGCTATTAATTACCTTAAAAACGAGGTTCTCAACCCTGGCCCCATATTATAATTACCTTTTTTTAAAGGTATTTTCATAAATACATAAGAGAATTTTAAATAAATCCTGATGCACAGGCAGAATGAAATCAGAATCTCTGAGGTTGGACCCACCTCTGAGTATTATTTTTAAAAACTCGTCAGGTGAATTCTAACCCACAGTAAGATTGAGAACCACTTATTTAGGTTTAAAAATATATTTACTCAGTACTTAGTATGACTACTAAGCTATATGGCATCTCTAGGCACACAATCTATAAATGACATGATTCCACATGGCTAGCCAACACAATGGAATTAACCCCAAACTACTAGCTATAAACATGTAATTCCCTTGATCAAAAACCTTAATTGGGTTCCCATGGCCTAGCATAAAGTTAAAATTCTAGCATGACTTTTAAGGATTTCTTCTACAATCTAGCTCTAGCTTGTTATTCTAGCTCCTCCCACTACTTCCCACAACAAACTCAATCCTCATGTAAAACCAGATGATTTTTACTGATTACACACATCCTTTCTTTCCCTTACTTCCAGTTTTGCTCCTGCTGTTCCTTCTACTTGAGGTGTGCTTCCCTTCCCCATGCCAGTCATTGATCATAAAACCTTTTCTATCTTTTAGACCCAGCTTGAAGGCTGCCCCCACCTCCAGAAAGCCAGCCCCAAAGTCCTCCATCAGAATCTCTCTCTAGCTTTGGCCCCTTTACTCCTTATCACATTTGTCATTAGCATTCATGCCTCATCTAATAACAGAAGCCTAAAGAGCAAAGAGTGGCTGTGAGCCCCTCAAGGGCCAGGGGGAGTCTTGTGTATCTTTCTCTAGCCCTGTTGCCCACACCCAGCACCCTGCATAAGGTCTTTTATAGTAATGGTCATTATGTGATGTTGAGTTTAATTAAAGTGCTCCTTACAACCATAATCCTCTAAATAAGATGCTGTTTCTAGACAGGAAGGAAATGGATTGCTTGATTTCTACAGCTGAATTTAAAACCAAAGACATAAACACCAAAACAAATAAAAGTGCCACACTGACCTAAAATGTAGCAAGTAATACTGTATTTGTGGAGCCAATTCATTGCACTCTAATAGGTCTTGATCATCCTTGGTATTTGCTATAGTCCAGAACTATTTGGAGAGTCTATAAGGGCAGAGAAGTGAATAAAGTAATTTCTGGGAACTTGAGAGGGAAAGTAAAATCCACCTTAAAATAACTACTGAAATGCTCTTCTATTTTCTGGGAGACTTGGCACTCTAGGTGGAAGGTTAATTCTTCTTCCCTTGGGCATTCCTTTGAGTAAGCTTTAAAACTGCTAAAAATAAACAAGTCCAATTCCTTATTTGAAGGTAATGAAAAGAAGCATGGAAATCCTAATTTTATTTTTGAAGTACAAGGAAAGTACGGACTCCCTGAGTTTTCATTATTATTATTATTGCTGTTTTCTCCTTAGGAAGAACTAAGTTTTTCAAACTGGAGAGACTGAGCACGAAGAACTTCCTGGAGAAAGGGTTAAGTAAGAAGCTGAAATACCTGAGTGCATTTCCGACGCTCTTGGCTACACCTCCAGGACAAATAAGGATGGGTTGTCAAGTTAAATAGAAGCAGTCAAGTGACTGAATTATAATTTACTCTGTGCTCAATTTAAATTAGTGTGAGGCTATTAAAATATACAGTATAAATACGGCAATTCATCACAACCTGTCATGGATGACTTCATTTATTTGCTGGAGTGGCACACGCTCCACTAAAGGGAAGGAGAGCGAAATCACAGGTCAAATTAAGCCGCTATTCTGTTTTAATTCGCTTATTTAATCTGTGGCAACATAATTGTCTTTTACAGTATGTACAACTCAGAAAGGAAATTTGGGAGGATTACAGTCAGTATTCAAATGATTAATCAAATGGTCCATTTAAATGCTAGTTTAAAAGCAGCAGAAAACCAAAACAGTCAAAGAATGATAATCAGCACATGCTACATACAATGTTAAGAAATTTCCTGTTAGATGGATTTTTTCCAATTAGAAAATAAATAATACTGGGAAAGCTATTAAGCTCTACTCTTTGAAAGGTTTTATAGAACACATTAATGGTATAAAAAGGTTCTATCTGCAAGATGGCTAACAGTATTTTTATTTGTTTTCTGCTCTACTTATTTGCAATTGTCTTGTTTACCTACACCACTCCCTGCCCCCAAAAACCCTAGTTAGAAACACATTTCATGAGTTACACACATAAAGTCATATCAAAAACTTATCTTTAAAATATGACTAGTATCATTTTCCAAATGCTCTCTTTGAGGCAGAAATATTTCTAAATTCAGTAGTATAAAATAAAAATTTAAGGTACTTCTAATCTTCCCCAAATTCATATTCCTTTTAAAAATATCTGAAGTGATAGTTCCCCACCTTTAACATCTAAAAAGGGAAATATTACAACACAGTTTTTTGTCTAAAAAAATGAAAACCTTTAGAAGTATAAAAATTAAAAATATTTTGAGTAGGAACAGTAACAGATTTTCAAGAACTCTCATCTAATTGCTCCCACAGATATTCAAAGTGTGGGTCCAACTGACCACTTGACTTGGGAAATTCAATTTCCCTCATCATTCTATGCCGGCACCAGAGGCCTGCAGGTGATTCTGTTTAGACAAGGACTGTGATTTGCTGCTCTTCACAATCCTTCTGTGACACCAGGCAGCCCCGTTTCACAGCTGAGGTCACTGAGAGGTTCAAGTGACATGCTTGAAGTCACACAAAAGTCAGGAGAGGGTCAGGAAAAGATCAAATGTGCTTCTAACTCTTAACCTTTCATTTCACCCTTTAATATAAAAAAAACTAAGAAATACTCTGGCTGAGAGCAATGGTCCATACAAAGAACACTATGGAATATTTTGTATGTGAGTTGAACCTGCTTTCAATATGTTACTTCAAAAGATAAATGAGTAAACTGAAAAACAAACACAAAAGAACAAAATTTATTTATTCAGCCATTCAACAAATCATGTGAACATCTAGTCATTACACACAGCGCTCTGCACTAGGCCCTCCATGAAATATTGAGCACGAATCAGTGAGTAAACCAAGATAAGATCTGTTCTCCACTTATAAGGAGATTTCAGTATGATCGAGAAAACATGTATACTAACAGCAACTGCAAGGCTGCCTGTGATAACCCCAGAAGGAACACGGAGAATTCTAGACAGTCAAAGAAGAAAGTGAGTAAGTGATAGATATAGCACATGTGACAATTTATCTTTGTAAGTTCAACACAGTGGCTTTGGAGCTGACCCTTGAAGGGTGTTAAGAATTTTGATAGGTGGAGACACAGGTGAAGGCATTCTGATTGGAGAAAAATACATGAATCAAAGTGTTGAAGTGAAAAGTATCTGGGTTCAGATAAGGCAATGAGTTCACCTTAAAGGCAGCATAGGATTCAGTCATATAAGAATGCCATAAAAGTAGGATGATGACACATTGTAGAAGATCCTGAGTTCCATCCAGAGTTTTCAGTTTATTGGGAAATAATGTAGAGCCTTTGAAGACTGTTGAGTGGGAAAGAGATGTTACCAGAACTATGCTTCAGGAAGCCAAATCTGAGGGTAGTGAGTGGCAATCTAGTACAGAGGTTAAGAGCATGGACTTGGGACCAGAGAATCCCAGGTTCGGTTCCCACTAAGGGCATGTACCTCGGCTGCAGTTTGTCCTTGGCCCCGATTGGGGTCGTGTGGGTGGCAGCCAGTTGATGTGTCTCTCTCACATCGATGTCTCTGTCTCTGTCTCTCTCTCTCTGTCTGTCTTTCTCTCTCTTCCCCCCCACACACATTCTATCTGAGGATAAATGCAAAAATATCCTTGGGTGAGGATTAAACAAAAATGCAAAAGAAGGAGGGCCTTCAGACAGAAGGGTAATGATACCAGATGGAAACCTGGATCTATACAAATGAATGAAAAGCACTGGAATTGGTAAAAATGTGAGTAAATATGAATATTTTCTTACTTTTTCAATATCTTTAAAAGACAAATAACTCTAAAGCAAGAGTAGTAACAATGTATTTTCACTATTTTGCATTTTGAGTATGTAAAATAAGATGAGGGAAATGAAAGAACAGTATGTACATTATGTATACTATATGAAGTTCTCACAGTATAAAGTGGTACAATATTACTTAAATGTGCTATTAGTTAAAGATGTATACTAGGAACTCTAAAGCAACCATTAAAAAACGATAGAACAAATAGAAAACAAAGAGCAAGATGACAGGTTTGAATCTAACCATATCAATAATCATATGAAATGTAAATGACCTAAATACCTCAAATAAAAAGCAGAGATTATCATACTAGATTAAAATACAAGACTCAACTATATGCTGCCTGTAAGAAAACCATCTCAAATATAATGACCCAGCTGGTTAAAAGTAAAAGCATTTCATGTCAAAGCTGGAGTAGCTATATTAATATCAGACAATGTAGATTTCAGAGCAAAGAATAATACCATGGATAAAGGAGGTCACTTCGTAATGCTAAAGGAGCCAATTCATCAAGAGGACATAACAATCCTACATGTATCTAACAGATCTTCAAGAATCATTAAGTAAATAAATGATAGAACTGCAAGGAAAAAAATAGACAAATCCACAATTATTACTGGGGATTTCAATACCCTCTTTCAATAGGTGATAGACAAGCAGATATAACTCAGTAAAGACAGATATTTTAAACAACACTATCCAACCAACTTGATCTAATTAACATTTACATAATACACTAATACAACAGACTATACATTCTTTTCATGTGCACAAGAAACACCAAGATAATTCACATTCTGGGCAATAAAAAATTTCTCAATAAATTAAAAATAATTCCAATTATACAAAATATATTCTCTGACCACAACTGATTTAAATTAGAAGTCAGTAACAGAAAGATTTCTGGAAAATCACCACATTATTTGGAAACTAACCACTTCTAAGACTTAATGAAAAACTCTTCCAGTTTTGAAGTAATGATACGCTTCTTTTTCCTAGATTATGACTATTATAACAGGTTTTTGCCTTTGCTGCAAAAAATCCCAGGGATAAGCAAAATAAGTTTAAACACAATAATCATATCTACTCTTCTTATTCATTCACTCAATTCAGTTTGAACATCTAGCATGTTTTTTCATATAGTTTAAGAATACAACATGAACACAATACAGTCCTTGCTCTACAGTTCAGTTTTACGGTCAGGTCTAATGAACTGTATATTTGTAAACCCCTACTGTTTTCATATATTGAAAATCTCTACTTTAACAGCTCTTTTAAAATGTGTCTTCTTTACAGTTGCTTTTAATCCTTTCCAGAAACAACTGTAAGCCCGTTGCCATACCCAACTAAACAGTCATGCATAAGACATTTAATATTAGCCCAGGTTAAACATAATTCAAAATGTATGAAATTATTAATAATTACACAAATACAAAGCCAAATAATAAGTTTTCTTTGGATGGTTTATAGCAATGCTCCCCTCTCTTGGAGTGAATTACGTAAAGTTGACTGACTTTAAATACATCATTGGCAATAATTTAAGAGTTCTGACATTAAAGGAACAAATAACGATAGGAAATGGTGCTTGAGCTTGTGGAGGTGCCGTCTGAGTGGAGAGGGAGCGCAGGAGGTACGGAAAAGACAACTCAGTGCTAGGGTGGCACGGCAAAGCTGTACTCGGTGAACCTGGGAAGATTGGGAGGAAGACTGGCTCTATAGTACCCACCCTGGAAACTCTCTGGACTTCAAGTTCCTCCCCTGTAAAATGTTGGGCTTCAACCGATGATCTCTAAGATCTGTTTCAGTTCTACAATCCTGTGAACCTAGTTTGGTTGAAATATCAAAGAAAATATCCCAACAGGGAGCTTTGTTGTATCTTCTCACCAAAAGCTATTTGAGTGATTAAAATTAGACTTTACAATGTCACATAACACATTCCAGATGCTGTACGAAGTGTGGTATGGACAATGAACTCTGGACTAACAACAGTCAGAAGACCTGAGTCTTAGCTTTGGTGTAACCTTGCTAAAAGGTATAACCAATTGCAATTTAATTGTTCAGATTTTTAGTGTCCTAGATAAAATAAAAAATGCAGAAATAGATTCTATGCAAGTGTTAGAGAAAGACACTGAATTCTCACTGGGAATAGCTAAGAAAGCATCAGGGAGGAGAAGAACTGTGAAAGGATAGACAAAAATCAGAAAGAGGAGCAAAGGTGATACTTGTATAAAGGCTTCATGGAGAGGCAGAAGATATGCACTTTTGAGTCAGATGGACTTTGCTTTAAATCCTGGCCCTGGCTCTTCCAACTGTGTGACCTTGGACAATTCAGCTTTCTGAGTCTCAGTTCTCAAATCTAAAATACACAGGCTTACTTTGTAGTCTTAAGGATTAAAGATAGCCCTGGCAGGTTTGGCTCGGCGGTTAGAGCATAGGCCTGCGGTCCGGAGAGACCCAGGTTCGGTTCCCGCTAAAGGCATGTACCTCGGTTGCAGTTTTTCCCTGGCCCTGGTTGGTCGTGCGGGTGGCAGCCACTCGATGTGTCCCCTTCACATCGATGTTTCTCTCTCTCTCTCCCTCTCTTTCTCTCTCTCCCTCCCACTCTATCTGAACAAAAAATGAAAAAAATGTCCTTGGGTGAGGATAAAAAAAAAGGGGGATTAATGATAATAGTTATATGGCAACCAGCACAGTACCTGGCATAAAGTAGTCACACAAAAGTAAAAGCTTTCATTATTAAGGGTCCAGAGATTGGAGACACCCCCAGGGCATGGCAGAAAGGGTCAGTCAGGAGAGCAGAGACTGTGGCTGTAAAGGTAGGGGCTGATTTGTAGAGGACCTAACCAATTTGAGGGGAGGGTGAGAAACAAGGCAGGCCTAAACAGTTTGTTAGCTTAGGGCCCAGAGTCAGAAGTGGGGTTCTGTGGGACTTGAGGAAGCCTAGGGTTCAGTCCGAAGTATAATTCAAGAGAACTCATTGGAGAATCTCAGATAAAATAATGGGAGGATCAAGCACCAACAGCCAATGCCAGAGATTAAACCCAAAGTGTCATGGCAGGACTAGGATCCTGGAGTATGGCAGGGATGAGGTGTGGATTACGAACAGGATGGCAACAAGTGAGGACTATCTTAGGTAGCTGCCTAGAGCATTCATGAATTATGTGCAGCTTGACTATTGGTGGGTGTGGTAAAGGGTTAGACATCTTAGCTTTACATTGCACACCATCAAGGATAAAGGGGCATGCCAACACAGAGACATGGTCAGATCTGTGACTCAACGTCTCAACTCTGGTGGCAGAATACAGGGACATGGGATAAGAAAAAGCCTGAGAGTACAATGATGAAGATGTTATAAGAGGTCCAGGTGAGAGGTTTGTGAGCCTGATACGAAGCCAAGGCAATGAGAATGAGAATAGAAAGAAAGTGACAAATGGATGCATTTCAGGGAAAATTTATGACAGTATATGGTGACTTAGAGGATGTCAGAGATAAAGAAAAAAAGGAGTGAATAACTACTAACGTTTTGAGCTGCAAGACCAGGAAGACAGTGATACCACTTACAGAGAACACAGAAAGCAGTGTAGGCAACAACAACGAGGAGAATCACAGTGCAAGGTGCTTACTCCTGAGCATTCTAAGGCATTAACTTAAGACCTTCAGGAGCTTGAATGTCACAACAGTGCCACAGCTTTCACCACCCAATCCAAACCTAAAACCATTTCATTTCCTTTTTATCACTACCTGTGATTCCAGCTAAACATGGTGGGGGTGGGTGATGTAGAGAAAAAGTGGTTAAGTATAAAAAATTTCATGAAATTTATCCAGCACTTACCTTTACAGCTAGTATTTTCCCACTTGGGACATGATATGCTCTATGGAAAGAAAAAAACAAAATCACTTGGGATCACTCAACAACCTAGAAAATGGTTCAGAATGTAAATGTAGATCTGAACACACCTGCAGCAATAGCATATATGATACTTTCAAAGAACACTAACAATATTAGTAATTTACATTTCTATTGAGCTTAATGGTTTACAAAATGATTCGTCATACCTTACCTTAAAATAACCCTCTGAGGTAAATGCTGGCATTATCATTTTTTTATAGATGAGAACTTTGAAGCATAGAGAAGTTAAGTAGTTTGCCTAATGGCACAAAGTCAGTAAGTGGCAGAACTAGACTTCAAATCCAAGTGTTCTGGCTCTAGATCCTTTAGGACATACTGTCAGTGTGGGTGGGAGGGAGGGAGGGAGGGAGGGAGGGAGGGAGGGAGAGAGGGAGAGAGAGAGAGAGAGAGAGAGAGAGAGAGAGAGAGAGAGAGAGGGGTCTGCTGTAACTCTCTACTAAACACTATACAAAGCCATATAAAATGGGAGGTTTTCCTTCTGTTTATTTAAATTATATATACAAATCAACTATATTCCCATGTGTCATCAAAATAACCTCAAAACACGTTCAATGAGCTACGGCTTAAGATACAAATTCCTACAAGAAGTCACAGGGCCCTGGCCAGTTTGGCTCAGGGGTTAGAGTGTCAGCCTGCGGTCCGGAGAGACTCGGGTTCGGTTCCCGCTAAGGGCACATACCTCGGTTGCAGTTTGTCCCCGGCCCTGGTTGGTCGTGCAGGTGGCAGTCACTCGATGTGTCCCTTCACATCAATGTTTCTCTCTCTCTCTCCTTTCCTCTCTCTCCCTCCCACTCTATCTGTACAAAAAATGGAAAAATATCCTCGGGTGAGGATAAAAAAAAAAAAAAAAAGAAGTCACAGGGTTTTAAGACTCAAGTATGTGGCCCTGTCCAGTTTGGCTCAGCGGTTAGAGCATCGGCCTGCGGTCCAGAGAGACTCGGGTTCGGTTCCCACTAAGGGCACGTACCTCGGTTGCAGTTTGTCCCCGGCCCTGGTTGGTTGTGTGGGTGGCAGCCACTCGATGTGTCCCTTTCACATCGATGTTTCTCTCTCTCTTTCTCTCTCTCCCTCCCACTCTATCTGAACAACAAAAAATGGAGAAATGTCCTTGGGTGAGGATAAAAAAAAAAAAAGACTCGCATATGTGGTTCATCTTTTCCTAAAGCCTGCATCTCTCAATATTGAAAAAGCTTCAGAATAGAGGCAAGCTCAAATTAGCAGATACAGTGAAATAACTACAATTTAACTCAAGGAATATGAATACATTCATTTATGAAAAAGAGAATAAGGCTTGAAGAAATAAACTCCATTATCTCATCAAGACCTCTTGTATGGTTTTTCTCAAAAACTTTTATCTTTAATGATTTGAGAGAAAGAAAGGGAGAGGCATAGATAGAAACATCAATGAGAGAGAGAGCATCAGTTGGCCGTCTCCTGCATGCTCCCCATTGAGGATTTGGCCCACAACCTGGGCATGTGCCCTGACCGGGAATCGGACTGGCAACCTCTTGGTGCATGGTTCGCCGCTCAACCACTGAGCTACACCGGCTGGGCAAGACCTTTTGTGTTTACACGCAATGTGGGCTTTCATATGTGTACTGCAAGGACTATACATTCTGACCATTATCAAGAAACAACCTGCCTTATATAAAAATTTCAAAATAAACCACACAACATGAACAAGCACTGTTACTGCAAGTTCATAAAAGTATAAAGAAACAAATTATTTTGGAAAAATTAAAATCTTGCTCCATAGAGGATTTCGCACATTAGTCAAGAATGGATTGTTTTTCCCCTCACCTGGCTAGTGTTGAGACGTGAGTGGGGTAGAAAATATGTGAAGGAATGTAATTTAGCTTGCCAGGAATTCCCCATCCTCAGTTGCCAAGTTGCAAAATTTACCAGGCACCCAATTTTTACCTGGTAGTAACTTGGTAGTAAAAGTTGCTCATTTGTTTTATTATTATTTTTTTGAGATATCGACATGTAACATATTAATTTCAGGTCTATAACATAATGATTTGATACTTGTATATGCATACTGCAAAAGAATCACCTCAACAAGTCTAGTTAATACGCATTACCATAAATATTTACAAAATATTGCTCTTTTCTTCAAACAAAAACAAAATATGCATTCCACTATTATCAAATGAATACATCATTTTCTGTCGTTTTGGCAAAAATATCTGTGTGGTTGCTCCGACAAATTTTTAAAACAGCTTTAGTGAGGTACAATTATATATGATAAAAGTCACTTTTGTTAAGTGTACTATCAATGGTTTTTAGTAAATTTACAGAGTTGTGCAATCACTGAAAGTATTTTTAAAGTGACAAACTTATGGATATAACTTAGTTACTAAGAATTTACAACTATAACTTTTCATATATAAAACATTACAAATTCAGGTAAGACTAAGAAAAAAACATGTAAATGTATGTACATATCCATGTATATGAGTGTTATAAGAAATTCATTCTGCTTTTCCTACTTGAGCAGACAAAGGTTGAGCCAATTTTGGAAGGTAAACTTAACCTTTATTTTATCAATTAATTACAGAGATTTTTATATCTTATTTAAAGGAAAAACAAGATTATAAAAACTAGCAATTGTTCACTTTACCAGAGAGTTATTTAATCTGTAAAAGTATCTAAAGACTTTGTCTAAATATCAATGTACCTAGTATATACAAATATTATTAAGCTTATAGAACTTAAGTTATTTTAAAAGTTTTATACTTTATATAAAGTGAAGTTTTATAAGTGGAACCCCTATATTACAAAGGGTTTAGAACAAATTACCATTTACTTTATTACCTATGTTAATATCAGACTTTTACAATGTGAAACTACATTTCAGGTGATGATTTGATTCATTATATGTCCAAATTCATGTAATAAATTAATATATAAAGACATACTGTATTTTCCTTAGTCCCTGACAGAGAAGTTTTTGGACTTAGCTAATCTGAAATGTGATATGAAGGAATTTAGTAACTCTATTCCATGTAAATATAGGTAATATGTGAATTTTAATTCTTCCAATTTCAACTTTTAAAAATACTCTATATTAGAATCACTAACCAAAGACTCAAATGTGAAGACTAACAGGTGAATGCATACACAAGGATTCAAAAGTTGTAAAAAAGAACAGTGTTGCTACTTTGCACAACAAGCAACACCAGGGCTTTTGAGACCAACAGCAGCGATAAGTAAATGATTAGCAGATAGTCTAATATATACCATACTGAACAGTTTGGCAACTTAAATAGCATGTCAAGAAAGATGATCTCTTTTCCAAAAGAAAGGTTTCCTATTTCCAAGTGAAATAAAAGGAGAAGCTTGATGATTTAATTATGATGCACGCTAATTCATCCGTGGAAGTTTGGGCTCGATTTCGAGCAATAAAGATGCTGTGTGGTTTGGTTTACAATGCAATGACAGTACCGATTTAACATTTAATCATCAATGAGAAGGGGATGACAAAGGCAATGCCAGGTATGAGTGGAGTGTGCCCCTTAACTTTGCAAATGGCATTCCACCTGGAGAAAAGGAATTTGTTTACTTTCAACGGATATTGCATCTCAATTGTCTTGACCTTCCTCAACACATTAACTGTAAAGTGATTAATGAAGTTTGAATGGGGGCTCTGGTTACACCAAAAGACAACTGTACACCTCTGTATTCTTTTAATTAACAGCTAACACTTCAAATTGGTTTGTTGTTGCCACAATAATTACCTGTTCCAATGAGTGCATGGAGGAAGCATTTTATGAGATATTTTTAGTGCTTAGTCTTGAGTGTTCCATTTTGTTTTTGACCAGCACAGACCTTCAGGGAATATTCCCAGCCCTTAAAACTGAGTACACAACACATACCCTTTAGGATGGCAGAAGCTAGTGCCTTGTTATAAATTTTTTGAGTATTTAAAATAACAAAGAGCCCAGCAAAAGAGAAGAACTTACTATCCACACTTTCTTTCTTTTTTCATTTGGAACAATAGGTTCTAGATGACTGACAAAAAAGTTGATATCAACCTTTAATTCTGGTAGAGTACAGAATCAGAAAATTTACTAAGCTAAGTAACAAACACAGAGAATTGTCAAGTCTGATCCCTTCCTTTTACAATGGCAACACCAAAAACCCAGGTTTAAAAAAGTTGTCCAAACTCACACAGTAGTCAATGGCAAAGCCAAAATGGGAACTGTGGCAGAATATACATATTTTAGCATGCCTAAAGGAAATATGTGGTGATGTTTAAGTTTTCTTCACTGTTCTAAAACAGGGACACTCATAATTCAAAATTTACAAAAGTGCTGACCTATTTCAATTAGACTAGGGACCATCACACCTGAATCTCTGCAGGCAATGACTCATTCTTCAATCACTGGCAATCTAGCTTGGCAGGCAGGGAGTGAGGGTGTAGGCTCTGAAGTCACCACTGGGTTCTGATCCTAGCTTTGCCACTTCTTAACAATGTGAACCTGGATTGTCTCAAGTCTGGAATGGGGAGATCAATCTCTACCTTATAGAGTCGTGAGGATTCAATGAGATAACATAGGTAAAAAGCATAAAGACTGGACTGGCATGCATTACATTGAGTTTTCATATATGCTTTTCTTTACTGTTCAGTTGTAAATATTTTTATTTCCATTCTGATGTATTATATGACCCATAGGTTATTTAGATGTGTGCATTTTAATTTCCAAATATATGAGGGGGTTAACTTATTATTGATTTCTAAATTAATTGTACTGTAGTCAGAAAAAGTGACCTACATGTCACAGATGTAATTACAAGGAAAATTTGATAAATCCACAGACACAGTGGGAAAATGTCCCCCAGTAATCAATAGATAAAAATTAATAAGGTTTAGAAGATCTTAACATCACAATTAACAGGCTGGCCACTGATCATATACAGAACTATGCATCAATCAAACTGAGAATATCTATTATTTTT